TCCCTAAAGTCATCACTACGGGGTTTTGATTGGGGTATGTGGAACGCACTGTGCTGTGGTACCTGCTCCTTGAATACGGCTTCTTCCTATCTAGCGATCTCGGAATGAGTTTTCAGAAACATGTGCCAAACTTTTAACGACGTTCCTGCGCTAATGTACTGATAGAAACTTTGTGGAAAACATTGTGCAACAACAAGCAGAAACATCTGGAGCAGACATAGGTGAAGCCACCCACGGGGAGTCAGTTTAGCGGTGGTCTCAAGCAAAACCTGCCGTACATTCAAGGTGAGTCGTATTGTGGTTGTGACCTATGACAGGTTTCTGGACCCTTCTGGTCTGGGACGAGCTTATCTGAGGTTTGAAATGATGTCCGAGGGTAGTTTCACTTTGATTTTTGACTTTTTCCAGGCTCTGACGAAGGCGATAAGGCCGAAACGTTAGCCAAATAAAACTGTTGTATCATCTTGGTTACGGCTACAACAGCACCCCAAAGAAAACTTTACAATATGCCAAGATTCGAACCTGAACGCTTATAGGTTCCCTTTGTCCTTGTAATCTGATAGCATTCTCATTAGCCCAATGGAATGCAGTGCGTTAATGAGCATGCTTCTCCAGCAAATCAAGAAAAACCTGCATTCTTAAGAGATGCAGAAGGTACCCATGAAACAGAGATATGCATAGTGAAATCAATAAAAAAAGTTCAACAATTTAACATTCAGCACAAGTTCTTTCAAACTTTTACGATTGGACCTTTTCCTAAGGTTGAACAAATAAAATTAACGACTTCATACGTGTGATATAGAAGTTCAAAAATGGACTGATAGTGAGAGTGCTCGTGGAAAAGGAAACGAATTACGATATAGAAATTGGAAATTCAGTCGTCAGAAAACTGTATTGAGAACTTGTTCTGCTGACTTCACCTTTTCTTGATTCGCATTGCAAAAGTTATTACATTCTACGTTTCTACAAAGATACTGAGTAAGGACAAAAAGTGTGGCCTAATAACTGAACCCTGTTGATCAAACCACAGCTATTAAACAAGAGTAAAGCAGACGATCCGTGTTACGGCGGCGCAGCGAGAAACTAGCAGTTTTTTTCTAGCAAGTGAACTCGAGTTTCGCAACTAATACGTCAAATCAATTAGATTATTGGGGATGCGCCATGCACATAGCACACGTGTGGAACATCCATGTTACGCGCTTTCATCGCGTCGTCGCAACATAGAGCGCGTCTCTCCCACTGAAGGAGTAATTTTGAACATAGATGCGGTTTAAGTTCCATTCAAGACTGAATGTTCTGCTAATACTTC